AACGATATGGCACTTCCTTTGAAAGTTAGAAATACCACGTGATCCAGCAATCCCACTCCTAGGAATAGATCCTAGAGAAATAAAAGCCATTACACAAATAGACATATGCACATCCATGTTCACTGCAGCACTGTTCACAACAGCAAAAAGATGGAAACAACCTAGATGCCCATCAACAGATAAATGAATAAACAAACTATGGTACATACACACAACGGAATACTATGCAATGATAGAGAGCAATGATGAATCTGCAAAGCATCTCACGACATGGATGAATCTGGTGGGCATTATACTGAGTGAAATAAGCCAAAACAACAAATATTGCATGAGCCCACTACTGTAAAAACTCATGAAAAGGATTACACACAATCTTTGATGGTTACGTGGGAGAGGAGGGGTGGGGGTGGAAAAACACTAAATAGACAATAGATAAGTGGTAACTTTGGTGAAGGGTAAGACAGTACACAATACTGGGGAAGCAAGCACAACTTGTTCAGGGTAAGGTCATGGAAGCTCCATGGACAAATCCAAACTCTCTGAGGGACTAAATTACTGCGCTGAGGGCTGTGGGGAACATGACCTCAGGGAACATCTAGCTCAAATGGCATAACATAGTTTATAAAGAAAATGTTCTACATTTTACCTTGGTGAGTAGCATCTGGGGTCTTAAAAGCCTCTGAGTGGCCATCTAAGATACTCCACTAGTCTCACTCCTTCAGGAGCAAGGGAAAATGAAGAAAACTGAAGACACAAGGGACAGATTAGTCCAAAGGACTAACAGACCACAACTACCACTGCCTCCACTACACTGAGTCCAGTACAACTTGATGGCCCTGGCTACCACCACTGACTGCTCTGACAGGGATCACAACAGAGGGAACTGGACAGAGCTGGAGAAAAATATAGAACAAAATTCTAACTCAAAAGAAGACCAGACTTACTGGCCTGACAGAGACTGGAGAAACTCCGAGAGTATGGCCCTCGGACACCCTTTTAGCTCAGTAATGGAGTCACTCTGGAGGTTCACCTTTTAGCCAAAGATGAGACAGACCCATAGGACAAAACGAGACTAAAGGGGCACACCAGCCCAGGGGCAAGGACTAGAAGTCAGGAGAGGACAGAAAAGCTGGTAATAGGGAACCTGAGGTGAAGAAGGGAGAGTACTGACATGTCATGGGATTGTTAACCAATGTCATAAAATGATACATGTACTGTTAACGAGAAGCTAGTTTGTTACATAAACCTTCATCTAAAGTACAATTAAAAAAAAGAATATCTAAAAATAAATAAAGTTACTGATTGTGTATTATTATATTTTTGTTCATGTTGGCAATTTTCCATAACACAAAGTTTAAGGACATTTGCCTCCCCCATGAGAAGAGTGAGTATCCTAAAGCCAGGTCCATGATTTTTCTTCCAAGTACACCTGCCCAGCAGAGAGCAGACAACTTTAACTTCACTAAACACATTTTATTCTTTAAGCAGAATTATCTTTCAGTGAAACCTCAGCTTTCTGATGATACTTTATTTAAATGATTTTTTATTAACTCAGATAAAACATTCACTCATTCACTATTTACTGGGTATCTACTTTCTATAAACTCCTATTTTTGTTAATGCAGTATATGAAAAACCATTCATTCTAATAAATTAAGATTTTGACAGTACCCTCAAAGATCCACAGCAAAAAACGACAGGGAGGGAAACAGGGAGATGAAGGAAAAGAAAGAATAGTAAAAAGCAATAAATACAGTTAAGAAAGGGATCTAAGATACCCACTTTTTAAATTAGGAAGGCATGCAGCTTGTTCAAGCTGAAAAGGACTAAAGTTCCCCTCCCCCTTCCATTTTACAGAGGAAGAAGCTAAAGCTCAGAGAAAGGAAGTGACTTGCCCAAAGTTACACATCAGGTTGCTAACAAAACAAAAATTAAAACTCAAATTTGCTGATTCACAGTCAATGTGGATTTTCTACATAACACTTTTTTCTACACCAAATAATCATTAAAAAGAATGAACTATATTATTAATATATATTCAATTCTATATTATACCATACTAAAGAAGAAAGTAATAGTTGATAAGTAAAGGAAAGAGGGGGAAAAGGCTGGGAAGAAACTACACACAACAAATTGGTAAAACAGTTATGCATGAAGACTATATGCATATACCATACTTCCTCAATTCTGACACGCATTTAACTTTAAGACACAGTATCTATTTCAAAAACATTTTGAAATAGACACTGCAAAATACATCCTCATTTCCAAAAAATGCTAAAATTTGAAAGCAAACACCTCTAAAGCAAGAAAATGTAATATAATATGCCCCATAAGACACACAAAAATCAGAATCATTTAGAGCCAGTGTCACAGGGCACATAAAGTTCACAAACACATAAAACAAGAGTCTCGTGTTCTAAGGTAACAAATAGTAAATACCTAAAGCTTTGTGGCATTTTTTGTTTGTTTGTTTCCAATTCTAGTAATAATATAAATAAATCCTTGTTATTTGTCTCATAAGAATGAGTTTTGGGGTTAAACAAAAAAAGGTTTGAATCCCAGTTCTGCCACCTAGCAGCTCTTCAACCTTTGGAAAGTTAGTAACTTTTCTGAGGCTCATTCTTCTCATCTGTAAAATGGAATAATCTGTGTGAAAATTAACTGATAATCATATTAAAGAAACATAGTACTGTGCCTACATGAAATAAGAACCCCATTAATACTACGTTTCCTTCTACCATCCCGATGGGCCAAGTAAATTTTACTAAAAACTAGGTCCTATTCTTGCCTTATAAGAGTCCTCCCTCTCCACTTAGGAGATTCGAATAAATCTATACTGATCCTAGGGCAAATCCAGTAGGATTTTCTTAGGAATTATTCTTCGATTAGAAAAGCTTATTATCCTGATATTTGTCTCTTTTCCTCCCTTCAAAATGGGAATAGGAAACAATGATAAATGTATAACCATTTAAGTTAAACTAATTATATATAAATTTAGCACTTTCATATTGTGTAACTGAGACTCCGTGTATCAAAATAACTAAGGCAAACCCACCGAAGGGAGGAACTATAGAACCAATGTATGGGAAGAAGGAAGGGTGAAAGATATAAAGCCAAAATTAACAGTTAATATGACTCAGTTTTATGAGTGTGTGTGTGTGTGTTTTAACGTTAAATTCATTTATTAAACTCTACGAAAACAAATGTTCAGGAGAGTCAAGACCGTATCTCCATGATTTGAGGTGTTTTAGGAACTTGATCCGTCAGATTAAGCAAATGCCATCTTTCAGTATGTACAGTTTCAGGATGTTTCTACCAATAATAACCCAGTCATTTCCAAGATGGGAACATGCCTACCAAAGTGGCTGGTATGGAGTCGGCACTGAAATAAGATCTTCTTTTCTCTATTCTGGACACAGTCCAGACTAACCCACTCACATACATATAGGTAATCCCTGGATTATGAACAAATTTTGGTCCTAAATCTACCTTTAAGTCAAATTTGTACGTAAATCAGAACAGTCAGGCAAATGTTTGTCTTAGTATATAGCGCATAGCATACCTTTCTATGCATAAAAACATTAAACACTTCCAGACACACTAAAACATCTTTAACATAATAACACAGTGATAATAATGTTTTGATGCACATTGCAAAGTAGCACCTGTTTATTATTATAAACCACTGTATGTAACTTGCATTTTTAATATAATAGGCTTTACAGGAGTTGGTTCTAACTACAGGCTGTACTTAAGTCAGACATTCGTAACCTGAGGACTGCCTATATTTCCTCACTATTATCCCATTTCAGTCTAATGCCCTCCCCATTATAAAATAATACATGCTTATTTTAGAAAGTCTGGGAAATACAAAAAGTACAAGCACTTTTAAACCACCCATGACCTTACCAGCCAAAGACTATTAAAGCATTAGAAGGGGGTCATATCAATATCTTTCCTATAAATTTAACCATAATTATAATCAGACCAAATATTTAATTTTGTATGGAATACTTTCTACTAAACATGATTAACTACTGGCCCATATTTTAATATCTTCATTCCAGCCTTCTTGAGATTAAATTCACGTTACTTTTTTCCTTACTTAACTCAATGGTTTCTTCTCAATTTTTGTGCTTGAGTCTCTCAGCTACATATTTTGCAGATGACCACTTATTTCTTAAAACTCTATCTATCCTAGGTTTCTCTAAATGTAGTTCCTCGGTGTCTACACAAATCTCTCCAACTAATCTTTTTCTCCTTCTTCACTGACCCCTCTTCTATTAACCCTGATAATCTCTTAAAAACGGCTCAGGTCTAACTTTTGGATTTTCTTGTCAACTTTGAATCTCCAGCATTTAGTACAGTGCCTGGCATCAAGAAGATGCTCAATAAACCATTTACTGATTTACTTTGCCAATCCTGGCCCTGCCAGTTATTAGCTGTATAACTTTGGGCAAGTTAAGTCTCTTTAAAACTCAGTCCCCTCATCTGTAAAACAGGGATAATCAAAACGAGATGATGTTTGGAAAGTTCAAAACAATGTCTAGCACAAAGTAGCATTCAACAAATTCTGTTATTATTATCAACATAATCTATTACAGGACTCAAAAATGTTTCTGATTATTATGGATGGTTGGCCACCAATCTACCCCTCAATAACCCAACTTACTTTCAGTACATTCTACTATCATAACTATCAAGTTTTTTTTTTGCTGTTTCCTATACTACCTATCTCCAATTCATGAATTAACTATTCAAATTTTCCTCTCCTAGCCACCATATAGAAACATCATTTATCAACTAAGCTATAACAGACTTAGTTGATTTCCATACCCCTAATTTATCTTCATTCAAATCTTCCTTAAAAACTATTTTTAATTTGTCACTCTCATTCATAGTTTCTTATACCATGTCTAAAAGACTGAAATGTCATCCTCATTTCTTCCAAAAACCCATGCCCCAATTCCTAGTTCAAAAGATGGCTCAAAACTCACCTCTTCCGGGAAACCTTCCCTGATTAACTTCACACCACTCGGATTACTTCTCTGCTGCGAGTCGTCTCAGCCCCTCAGCACTTAGGTATTCTGTTTATACGAAGGGTAAAACATGACTGCAGTGAATAGTGTTACCAAGAAATTATTCCACAAAATTATTTCTACATTATAAAGAATGGTCCAGTTGTTGTAATGCTTTGCTGATCTGGTTACAAGGAAACATCCTATACAAAAAATGCCCTCTTTGGTTTCTGTCCTTGACACTTTGCTATTTTACATTTGTCAGTAAGCTCTTAACTCTAGTCCTAGCCTCAAACAGAAATTACGCATCAGTGCCCATTATCTCCTCCCTTTTGAATCTACTGGAAATGTGACATGGGTCACTTTCTTCCCTACTACCTCTTCTCTGTCCCACCCTCCACCCACACCCCAGAAATAAAAATTCCAAAAGCTTAAAAGAGAAAGGCATAGTAGTGATACATGCGCACACATAAAAAGAGCTCTGTATCTATTTAGCTACAAAACTATCCCTAGGACTGAAAACTTCCCCAGCAATGCATGATACGTAATCAAATTCTACTACATCAAAATAGTTGATCTATATACGGGCAGAAGCACAATGTGATGACACAATGGTTAAAACACTCAACTGCTAACCTAAAGGTTGGCAGTTCGAATCCACCAGCTGCTCTGCAGGAGAAAAACGTGGCAGTCAGTTTTCCTAGAGGTTAAAACCAAAAAAACCAAACCCATTGCCGTCAAGTTGATTCCAACTCATAGCAACCCTAGAAGACAGAGTAGAACTGTCCAACCTTTTCATCAGCAGCCAAACTTAAAGGTTACAGCCCTGGAAACCCGATGGAGCAGTTCTACTCTGTCCTATAGGGTCACTATGAGTTGGAATCCACTGGAGGGCAGTGGGTATATACTAGCAGGATTGTACCTATATGTTAATTCTCACTTGTGTTGCTGTAAGAGGTCCTGCATCATATATATGCATGTATTACACATACCCAACAAGATAGTTGAGAGATTCCCCCTGTGGAGAATTTTCACAAAGAATCTTCTGATGTTGTCTTTAAACCAACAAATTCCAGTTTTGTTTTGTTGTTTTTAATGCAAAGACTCCTCGTGTCATACAATAAAAATCAAACAATGTTTATGTTATGCCATTACTTCTGACAGAGTGAGTTTGCTTGCTGCTGAGACAAAACACTGAGAGGGACTGTGATAAGGGAGGGGTGACCAGTCTCAGCAGTGAGAGTTAACAAGTCTGAGTATTTGGCCCTCAATGAGTAGTGAATGAACCTATGACCTGCCTGACTCCTACCTCAGACATTTGGCTCTCCAGTCTCTGCATCTACGAAAACGAATAGTGGTACACTACCTTACCTACTCACAAAAGATCCACATTCTTCAGCTGCCCACATGTAAATCTACCTCGTTTGCTTCACGTATACTTTCTAACTGGCCAACTAACGCCTCCCAGTCAGCCTCCAACCACACCTCACCTAAAACCTTCTCCTCTCAGTCACCTTCCGGTTTCACTGGGTTCCTCTTATTGCACATCCACGTGTCTCAATCTGTCTAGAGTCCTTAACCTTCAAAACCCAAGCCTGTCCTCCCTTTACTCCCAGCTGATTTTCGCCCACCCCCTATCAATCTCTATTTCCAAGATACCGACCACGCTCTCAGGCTACGCACCTTCTCCTTGGGCACCCTTTTCTGGGCATCACGCTTTTCCTTTTCCCATCACTTTCTTCCTCCCCAGACACGAAATCCTTCAGTCACAGGCCTCCTTTTACTGCCACCCTCGAGCACACGAGCCAGCTCCTCCGTTAACTACCTCGCCCCACCTACGACACCTCTACGCGGCCTCCCCACCCCAGGCGACGCCCCCGGGCTCCGCCGCTGCAAACCAGGCCCCTCCCTAAGTTCCCGCTAGCTGTCCCGACTCTCCGGAGGGCGGCGGCCAGGCGAAGTCGCGCAGAGACCACCCGGGCTGCAGCCGGCGCCCCCTGTGCTGAGAGGACAAGGGTAGGGGTGGAGGCGGGGGGTCGGGGAGTAGGGTAGTGGGTCGTCGCCCCCGCCTGGGCCCAGCCTGCTGCACCGGCTCCCGCAGTCGCAGCCGCTGCCCGGGCCAGGTGAGAAGGGGCCCGCAGCCAGGCCTCTCCCGCCTGGAGCCCCTGCCTCTCACCTAGACACAAAGGCTCAGGCCTCGCTTTCCGTCTGGCCGTCCAGCGATGGCTCTGCCGTCGCCGTCGCGCTCTCCTCACTCTCTTTTTCACCGCCCCCGACCGGCTGCCGAAGAGCGGACGAGCAGAGGCTCACCCATTGGCTGCGGCGCGCACTCGCGTCAGCCAGCCCCAACCCGGACCTCGGGAAGTTACTGGCTGGCGCGGCGTCTCTTTTCCACGTCTCGTTTTGATTGGCTCTCTCTCGCTCCCTTACCGGGAGGACCGCTCACCCTCGTCCCCGCTTTGGCCTCCCACCCGCCCAAGCCTGTTTCCATCTGGGCAGGAGAGGGGTGGGAGCAGGAGTCGGTGGGACGCGGACGGCCAATGCGAACGCGGAGAGAGGGCCGGAAGGTGGGCTCTGCGGCCGGCCGGCCCTCTGGGGAAGGCTCAGCCAATGGGCACGCGCCCCACATCCCGAGGTCGGCAGCGCCCTCGGTGGCTTCCAGTGTCCCGGCAGGTCGCGCCCAGGGCCACGCCCGGCTCCTGTCGCGCGGGGAGGAGTGCCCACTGAAGAGGTGGGAAGGATGCGGCGAGACCGGCGCGGGAGACCGCGGGGCAGCTATTGTGTCGTGCTCGGGCACTGCCTACGTAGGGCCTGCCGCGTCTTCCAGTGGGGCCTGGGGACTCTCCGGCCACTCCCGGGTGTTAGGGACCCGCTCGGAGTACTAGCAGCTTGGTAGGTCTGGTCCGGTCGGTGAGAGCGAACTGGTCGCTGTGTGGGCCTGTGGAATCCCCTTAGGGTGCCCAGTAGGGAGGAAACTAACCCTAGGTCTCGTCCAGCCCCGCGGGACTCTTGGCCAAATCATTCCCTTTTCCACTCCCTCCAAAGTAATTTCGTACGAAACTAAGCCACGGTGAGAGACGTCCGA